TCTGATCCAGGGAAATATAATATTCTGCCTTTTCAATATTTCCCAGGATATTTCAGTTTTCTAGGAAAGGGCTGCGTGCTAACTTCTTACACCACGAAGAAATTCAGTGGAGAAGCTGACAGAAAGTGGGAAGATTTTTCTGCTGTCTCTGATTTTTTTTTTTTTCCTGCCCATGATCATTCCGGTTCTCTGTTTACGTAAAGAAATATCTCTGAAACGATGATTCAACAGGGCACAACTTATCTAGTTACAAATAAAGTTGGGGATACCATTCTGAAATCAAATCAGATCAGATTTGATTATTATTTTTTGAAATTTGGTGCCATCATTTTGAAATTTACCATAAAATGCCTAAAATGCCTAAAATGATCCTTACACTCTCTGCAAGGCACAGGTTCCTTACATATTGTCCGAAACCAGGTGCATATTTGTCTGAAATCTGCCTATGATATAGATTCACATTACAATAATGTGATTGGCTTTATTTGGTTAGAATGTGCTGCATGGATATAGCCACTGTGGTTGATAAATTATTGATTATGGCCTAACATATTATGTAAATCTAACTGTTCCTTTTGCAAAGGCACAATGATGTAGCAAAATATGTGAATCAAGTCTTCCTATAAAGGGAATGGCTAATCCTTCCAGATTTCAGGTAAGAAGCCCAAGTCCATCCAGAGCCAGGCTTAAGTGCCAGAGTAGTCGTAGAAGAACAATAGGGAAATAAATCTTTCTTGAAAGCTCAGGTGATTCCATAAGGATCCTGGCCAGCACAATTCACAGAACTGGAAAACATCAGATTGAAGAAGCCTGGTTTAATGGATCAACAGCTACTTGTTTCATCATTTTACCAGATGTTCACTCACATGCAAGACCCAACCTGTTGACAAAGGCATTTAATCCACCTGTATGCCCAGAGAGCATTCATGCACTCATTTTAGTGGATTTCTGCCAGCCACAGATTACTCTTGGAGGCATTCTGTGTGGGCATGTGTGTTCATAGCGTAACCAAGGAGCAATAAAGCAAGGTATTTATTATAAATGAAGGGGCACACATTATAGGGAATGGTTAAGTCTGGCATTGAGCTAATAGCATCCTACCAGAAGGAGTGTCCGGGAGCATATATTATGTGCACAAGTGTCTGGAAGCACAAATGGAAATGGCCTCAGATTGGCAATGCCTTCGCTAAAGAACAGGCAGAGGGTTACAGAGACAATTTCTATCTAAACCTACTTTCCCCTCAATGAATGCAAAGCACTGAGATTATTTTAGAACTCTTGTCTTTTCATTCATTTTCCATTGCCAGGCAAATTATAATTGTAATTAAAACCTAAGGATTGTTTATATCTGACAGATGTACTGTGTTTTTGAAATGTGTGGGAGTAGCTGGAAAGCAATATACTGTATAGCTTTTTCTAAATGCAATGATACTACTGTACAACTTTATTGTATGTATCCAATGATGAGCTTAATTACTTTGCAAGAATGAAGGGAGAAATTAGATGCCAGTTAGGTTACATGGGTTCAAGGGAGACTCCAGGACAAAGTTTGCCCCTTAAATAAAGCTTCAGAGTGAAATTGAGTGATAACTAGAGTTAACCATTAGCTACATGAATTGTCTGGAACCACAGATCAAGGGCGAGCCCTCTGGAATTTAACACACTTAGATTGTGTCTGCTTAGTATCTTGTTTGAGTTATGGGTCCCACCAATAATTTTAATTTTAATAATTTTAATTTTAATTTTAATTTTAATTTTAATTTTAATTTTAATTTTAATTTTAATTTTAATTTTAATTTTAATTTTAATTTTAATTATTTTAATTAATTTATTAATTTTTTATGTTTAATTTTAATTTTAATTTTTTCTCGGTAGGGCTGATCTCTGACAAATTGAGGGAAGAACAGAGAATGTTTCCGTGAGCCCCAGACTTTTGGTCCACTGCATCCAATTCTGAAGCACTTTTTCCCAGTTGAAATGAATGGTACGGTCAATATGTGTATGAAGGGAATCCCAGATTATTAAAATAGCTGTTGAAGTTATATTTTAACTAAATACTTGTGCAGATAGTCCTCACTTAGCGACTGTCCTGTTTAGCAACTATTTGAATTTTTGACTGCTGAAAAAGTAACTTTATGGCCAATGTTCCTGTGACTATTGCAGCCCCCACATGGTCCCACTAGTGAAGTTTGGCTGCTTCGCAACTGGCAGATATTTACGACCATCACAGTGTCCTGCGGTCACATGATCATCATTTGCACACTTTAGACCTAGCTTCCAACAAACAATTTAAAAAAAAGGCTGTGATCACATGAGATCTTGCTTAACAGCATCACTGTTGATAAGGTTGCCAGTCCCAATTGCAGTTGTTAAGCAACGACTCCCTATACTTACGACCACAATTGAACCCAAATTTTCTTCTGCTATGTGAAACATTTGCTAAGTAAATTTTGCCCCATTTTACGACCTTTCAAGCCATAGCTGTTAAGTGAATTGCTGCAGTTGTTAAATTAGTATGCCGGTTGTTAAGTGAAACCGGCTTCTCCACTGACTTTGCTTGTCAGAGGGTCGCAAAAGGGGATCACATGATCCTGGGACACAACAAAGTCTTAAATATGAACCAGTTGCAAAACATCTGGATTTTTGTCATATGATCATAGGGATGCTGCAAAGGTTGGAACTATGAAAATTGTTCATGAGTCACTTTTTCCACTGCTGTGTAACTTTGAACGGTCACTAAATTAACTGTTGTAAGTTGAGGACTGCCTGTATTGAGCCACCTGATCATCTCAAATACTGATTCGTATTTTGGGTGGGATCGCCTTTATGTTTGTGTCCGAAAGAAATCAAGAAACCCCTCCCCCAATCAAGGAGGTCGTCCTTCTCCACCCTGAAACAGGTGGGATAGAACAGAATATAATCAGAGATGCCATATGTTCCCAACTGATCATGATACGCATAATGATTATGTAAAGTAAACAAATCCAGAGAGAATATATATTGACAGAACTGCAACCAGCAATTTTAAAACAAGATGAGACATGTTTATTAGTTACCAGAGCAAATCTCTTGGGCTCCAGCTGAAACTCTGTTCATTTCTTTCCAATCCCTTAAGATGGAAAGTCCCAGTATGTTGGGACAGCGTGAGTGTGGGGAGAGAATAAAGAAAAAAAGGAGGGAGATTTCTTTCTTTTTAAGATTATATGTTACCCTATAATAACAAAGGTATGAATTTTCCAAAGCGATTCGGTTTCTAATTTAATTCTTGCAAAAGCGAAGTCCTCTCCCTGCTTCCAGAAAGTGGATTCATAAAACATTTTTGCGCGCATTGAGAATCCTGCTATTCACAGCAAATCTAAAGATATATAGCAAGTCTGAACCAGTAGAATTATTTTATGACTTTGCTTGCCTTCGGGCAGAATGAGCTTACAAAGTTGGATGCTCTGTTTCAACCATTCTGATGCCTACTGATGTCCCGTCAAGTGGCACCACATTGCTGATCTCAAAGCAAAAAAAAAAAAAAAAAATCCAAGCAAGGTTTGGATGTCAATGGGTGGGGTGAGGATGAAGGTCATCACAGATGCTCAGGATTGCAGGGTAGATTGGGAAGTCAAAAACATGTCAGGGAAAAGGTATTGGCAAATAATTTCCCTCTTGTGGAACAATAAATCACTTGTCCATGTCCTTTATCAGGAATTCAGCTCAGCTTAAGGCAGCTTGACTCTCACTTTCACATGAGGATAAGAACAGGAGGAGTATAAGAACACATGTGGACGACATTTAAATGTCCTCCTTCCATGTACAGCTTCTTTACAGGCAAATCAGAGGTGGTATTCAGCAGTTCTGACCAGTTCTGGAAAAACGGTAGGGGAAATTTTGAGTAGTTCGGAGAACCGTTAAGTACCAACTCTGACTGGCCCCGCCCCCAGCTATTCTGTGCCCCACCCATCTCACCCCCATCCCAGCTGATCCGGAGGGAATGGGGATTTTACAGTATCCTTCCCCAGCCACGCCCACCAAGCCACACACAGAGAACCGGTAGTAAAAAAATTGAATCCCACCACTGAAGATGCATTGTTTTATCTAGATTCTAGATTCCAGACCATGAGTTAACATATTTTTCATGGGAGAAGCTGAAAGAAGGAAGTACAGAAAGAGAATTTGCCCCTTATTTATTGTACTGCCTTCAGATAAAATCTGATCCTTTAATTGCTTCTGCATGCCAAGCAACTCTCACTTTTTGAAAGAGGTTTCTCTGGTAAAATTAAACCTAATAGCGTGAGGAACCTTTTAAGCATCTTTCCATTGACAAATGCGGCAGGAGTGTTTTGCTTCACTCCGGAGAGGCGACTCGGGATTAAGATGTTGAATTGTGCTGCTCCTTCGGTTTGTTTTGCTACAATTTTCTAACCCACTTTAAACCGAAGGTAGCCTAGAATCTCAATGTGATTTGCCAGGACAATACGAACTTTTCGGCTGCCCCACAATGCGAATTGTCCCTCCACTGGCTGACAGGAAGGAACCGGGAGGGGAGTTTGATCGGAAGGTATAGTCAGAGTCGCCTCTGCTCTGATCCCGGGTAGAGACTCGTGTGATCCCAGCCTTGCAGACTCTTCCGCAACTGGTAGAACAGGACGTCGTGATTCAAAACAACCCGAACGCAATCTTATCTCCGTATCTCTGGATCCGACAGGTGATGGGCGGGGAAGGGTGTTTTTGACCCTGAATCGCCCGCCCACGGCCTCTTGGGAAAGCGAGTCCACGAAGAATCGATGGCTATTACTTAACTGGGTCCGCCCGCTTCTTTTTTTCCTCTCTCCACTTTTACGTCTTTGGACAGCTCCTCCCGCGCTTGGCTGGAAGTTAACTTCCTTTACTGTTTTTCCACTTTCCTTCTCTGCTTACCCGATCCAGCCGCGCTATGGTGAAATGGAGCAGCTTTGCCGGGAGATTGGGGCGCTGCCTGCAATCGCCACCCGGAGTATTCCGCCCGGCTCCCCTTTGGAGGGCTACTTCCAGCGCTGCGGAGGCAGCTTCGGTTCCCCGGCATGAAGAGCGGCTAAAGGGGCCGGAGGAGTTGCCCGGGATGGGGTCCCTTGAGACCCTCTATTGGCACTTCGTGAGAGGCTACTTGCTGCACACGCACCAACTTCAGGTGATGAGGCCACCGGGGAAGTCTCCGGGGCAGTGCGGGTGGGAGTGGGGAGACCTCTGGAGAGAACAGCTCTTTCCCTACGTCGCTGGTCTCAAGTAGCCAAAAAGGCTGCACGGCTTTCTGGAGATGAGCGAACCAGCCAAATGATTGCTGGTTGGAAAACGGAAACAGGCGACAACCAGCCCGAGAAGAACGCTGGGTGCTGCTGGAGCACTAAGAGTTCAGCAAAGAATGGAGCTTTGTTTTCGCTGCTTCGGGGTGATCCCAGCTCATGGTGTTGTTGTTGTTGTTGTTGTTTGGTTAATCTTTGGTGAGATTCACAGCCTTTTATGTATCTGCTCAGAGGTGTGTCATGTTAAATAACTAATTAAATGTAAATAAATAGATTACATCTGCAGATGCTTTATATTCTCCTGAGGTGTAGCATTGCTTCAGGATAAATTTCCCACAGCTGATGCCTTTAAGAGTTCATTACATTCAATATCCATCTTGATGCAAGTGGATTGAAATCTTAAACATCAGAAGGGCACCATATGGGGGAAGGATCTCCTAGGGCAAGGGTGCCTGGCAGCCCATGGCCCAGATGCATCATGAGCAGGCCATGCCCACCCTGGTACCACAAATGAGGAAAATGTTGCAAAACATCCCCTTGCACCTATGTGCTAGTCGTTCCCGACTCTAGGGGACGGTGCTCATCTCCGTTTCAAAGCCGAAGAGCCAGCGCTGTCCGAAGATGTCTCTGTGGTCATGTGGCTGGCATGTCTAAACGTGATGCAGCATGACACAGCGAGTTTGACACCCATGTCCTAGGGTATAATCAACACTACTTTTCATTTCCATTCTAAATTTGAACCCATCATAGGTTATGCAAATAAAATGTCCCATTGTTGTTACACTCTAAAATTGAATTGTATAGCTCCTGTGTCCTAATTTCCAATGGTCTCCTCAAGTCATAAAATGAGACTTCAAAAGCAAGTCAACTCATCTTTTGCATTTGCAGAGTGTTTGGGGACTTGGAGATAAGACATTACCTGGAAGGGGGGAAGGGAGTTTAGAAAGATGTATGAATTAGAAGTAGCAAAAGGTTGAGTTCATCTACTCTAGTCTTATTTCTGCTCTGCTCTGCTCTACTGTAAAAAGGTAAAGGTAAAGGTTCCTCTTGCACATATGTGCTAGTCGTTCCTGACTCTAGGGGGTGGTGTTCAACTCTGTTTCAAAGCTGAAGAGCCAGCACTGTCCGAAGACATCTCTGTGGTCATGTGGCCGGCATGACTAAATGCCCAAGGCACATGGAACACTGTACTCTGCTCTACTCTACTCTAATTCTATTCCTCATTTCTGATTTCAGTACTATTCATTGTTAGCATTTTTGATATGGACAGAGAAAGTGTCCTCCTGGAATGTGACCATCTACTGGAAGAAAAAGATAATGTTTCCCTCCTTTACACTAAATATAAACATGACAGAAGACCAGTATTAGTTTATGGCAGGGATAAACCAGGAGGACGCTGTTCACAAAAAGTTAATTTAATAAAATGTGTTAATTACAACAGTTCCTACTAGATGCCTTCTGTTTGTTTGTTTTTTATTCCCTATACAAAAAGGATATTGGAAGAATTCTCAGGGGAGAAAATGGACTCAGTGGATAGACCAGAATAAATATTTCATCTGCCTTTCCACTTAAAATCAAGAAATATGACCAAGTATTTGAATTCTTTTGTCAGCGCAGGCTGCTTGTCAGATTGTTGCAAGAAGTTCAGATGTACAGATTAAAGTGCTGGGTTCCAAACTAACAGATTAAAAAAAAGGCAGTTTATTGCACCACAGCAGATAAGACATGACAGGGCACTAAACATGGGCTGGGAATATCATGTTTGAAAAACAGTATATGCAGTTAGTTGCTTTACTACTAGAATCCATATTGTGCTCCTGTTGGGCAATAAGTGCCAAGCATGATTTACCAAGTTGAAACAAAAATTCAGCAAATATAGTTATGTTTCATTAAATACCAGGTTGGAGATTCTTTGTGTGTTTTTAGAATACCCAAAGCGTAAACAAATATCGTAATCTGATAGGCACAATAATGGTTTCTTGACATCACAGGTTATGCACACATTGGAGCTCCAGGATTTCCTTTGAACTCAATCAACAGTAAAACTGCCAGATTACAAGGAACCAAAAAAAAGGCTGTTTTCATAGAAAACATCTATTTTGGGAAAGCTGCCAGTGTCTTTCTTAGCTACTAAGAATCTATGTAGTAACTAAACAGCTTAGTTTGTGAGTCCGTTTGTGAATTGTTCCAAAAATTAGGCCACTTAAATTCAAGTTTCATGACATGATTTTATTTTTAAGCACAGCCACATCAGGTGAGAACAAAGAGTAAAGATATCCAAGGGTTTGGGGTCGAAGACATAGGGCTTCCATCACCCCATGTTGTGAGCTCCCACTTTTGCAGCTCAGACAGAGGGTCGTGCCCCAGTTTCTCTGCTGTTCGGGGCCCTGGAGGTTTGCCCTTGGAGAGCATTAGTTACACTCCCAGTTTGATATGAAACCATCTTGTAAATGATAACCTTGTGTTTAGCTAGAAATATACGTTGATAAATTTGGATATCATTAAAGCTGCCTAGAGAAGGGGGAAGGCTGGGGAATCTGTTATTCTTTCATTAAATTTTCATACAAATGAGAACTCAGTGTATCTTCAGATCGATTTCATCTCTATTCTAGAAACAGCTCAGATTGAGTTTTTGGACAAAGGAACAAGGCAAGTGCAGAAACTGGTTACAAGGGTTGGGTGGGGGGGGGTTGCCTGCGACTCAAAAGAGAAATGTTTCAAATGCGTTACTTGCCATTTGCATTCATCCATATAACAGAAACCAATTGTTTTAGTATTGAAGTTGACATTCCATAGCCAGCAGCCGTGTTTCCTCTCCCATCTCATTCTTGTTTCTTTCCTGGTTTCTCCCCCACCCCGCCCCCCCTGCATCCCACTTTGCTGCAGTACTCATATTTCACGAGGTGAAAGAGAAAAACCATACAGGAAGCTAGCACTGCTGAGATTGGCAATAGTTTTGACAGACCTCAACCCCCAATTTATCTGCCACTCTTTCTAAGCTGGGAGAGGGGGGGAGCGAGGGAGCGAGGGAGCGAGGGAGAGGAAGCAGGTGAAGGGAAAAAATAAGTTTTCTCCTTGGCAAGCCCGCCCCCTGATTTCTAGCTTGAAGAACTGGATCAGTCTGAATAACTGACTCCACACAATTATTCCACTGAGCAATGAATGACCTACACACATGCACACACACACAAATGTATCCCACTTTTTTTGACAGCCTCCAAATGACTTCATTACTTTTTCTATTTCAGATCATTTCCAAGAAACGGTATGGCCCCATGTGGAAGTCTATTATTGGTCCTTATCTTAATATTAACATTGGAAGTCCTGAAATCTTAGAGGAGCTGTTACGTCAGGAAGGAAAATACCCAATACGGAGTGACATGAGCCTATGGAAGGAGCATCGAGACATACGGCACTTATCATACGGCCCCTTCACTGAGTGAGTGTCAAGCAGCTACCTACCACACATCTATCCAGAAATTAAATAAACAAACAGACTTCTAATATGAATTCACATAGATGTGTAGCTACACCCAAAGTTTATCTATAATCGGCACATAAGAATAAAAATGAATCAATTGCTATGCCTCAAAGAAGCTAATTACTGTATCGATAGTGCTAGCCCCAATACAACCCGTACCATGAGGTATGTACCTTTTCTTAGGCATCATCATCATCATCATGATAATTTATTTGTCAGTGCACAACATATATACAATGACTATTGTATCTAAATTTAAATAATTTATCATAATCAAGACATAATCTAAATTTATGACTAAAATTAGGTAAACTGAAATCAAGCCTGCGTAGCAGTGACGGAATGTATTATGTTTTTCAAATACGTGGAAGAGCAACTCACATTTCATTCTAGCTCCTGAGAATGCTTGCATAGTTAACTGAGAGCAACTCGTTTCTGTGGGGAAGCTGAATTAAACTCTGTGCTTCTTAGGGCTAATTCCTGAGCATGATTTGTGCAGCCATAGTAGCTGGTTTGAATCTGTAAGGAAGAAGATATAAATATTATTTGAATAGTACTCTCCCCCCCCCCAGAAATGTGATGTAAGTCTTAGCATTACTGTAGATCTTTGATCTAAATAACAGTACTGTGCAAATTCTCCAAATGTCTTCTAATCAGATGGCACCCTCTATATTTTAGATTATAACTCATATGATTGCTAATGTGTTAAGTTATTTTTTCTTAAATTTCAAAAAGATTACAATTAATCTTTCCTTAAAATAAATGTCACAACTTGTGGGTTATGTGCGGGGTTTGTTTATGTGTGTGTAGATATAGTCACAAAATAAAACATATACACATCTATATAAAATATATAGAAGCCTAACCTGATTAAGAAAAAGGTGCCCTGAAGAGAAAAAGAAGAAAAACTTACTATATCTAGAAAATAAAAAAATACAGAGGTGGAAAAAACTCTAGGTTTTTATGTGTATGTGTAAAAAAGAAGCCTTATAAACAAAGTAGAGATTTAATCACACCTAGCTAGTTTAGTTAAGTCTGCTAGTTAACTCTCCCAATAGATTTTAGTAATTCATCTGATTCCACACATATGCTACATATGTAAATGGGCTGTGAGAATATCATAACCTGCATATAGCATAGTCTTTGAAGGAGGAAGACAGGAGGAAGAGCTGCAGCCCAGACCACACCCTGATAAACTAACTCTAAGCCCAAACCAGAAATGTAATTTAATAAAGCATCTCAAAACTGACCCTTCCTACTTATGTGGAAAGTAATGACAAGGGAAGGGAGAGATGCTTTCAGACATGCAAGAAGATTCTCTTACTGTAACCTCACCATAAAGTAAAGGTAAAGATTTCCCTGTACAGCCGTGTCCAACTCTAGGGTGGGATGCTCATCTTAGTTTCTTGGCTGAGGGAGCCAACATTGTCCAAAGACATTTTCTGTGCTTATGTGGTTCACCAATGGTGGGATTTGATTTTTTTACTACCAGTTCTGTGGGCATGGCTTGGTGGGAGTGACGTGGCTTTGTGGGCGTGGCAGGGAAAGTTACTGCAAAATCCCCATTCCCTCCCCACCCCACTAACCTGCTTTCCAGCTCCATTCTCCTGTTCAGGGCAACGAAAGAAGATCAGTTGGGAGGCTGGGAGGCAGCAGGGGCGGGGCCAGCCTATTTGCCAGTTCTCCAAACTACTCAAAATTTCCGCTACCAATTCTCCAGAACCTGTCAGAACTGGCTGAATACTATCTCTGGAGCTCACTCTGTTGTGCAGCAATTAGATCTTGAATCTAGGCTGCCAACTTCCCAGCTAACAAACTCTGTGTCTTTAACCGCTGAGCCAGATAGTATTAGCATTCAGGGTTTTGGTTTCCTGCCTGGACTGATTACCTCAAAGGGCTAACAAAACACCTCTCATTCTTAGGGATGGAGAAAAGTGGCACCATCTACGGCAGGTGTTGAACAAGAGGATGCTCAAGCCTTCAGAGGCTATGCTCTATGCAGATTCCATCAATGAAGTAGTGTCTGATCTCATTGTGCACCTTGAAGATGAGAGAAGTAAAAGTTCCTCTGGAGTAAAAGTTGAAGATATGGCCAATCTATTGTACCGATTTGCCTTAGAAGGTAGGTTTATAGCTTGTGGTGATACTAGGAATGAACTATGAGTTCTTTTACTTCTGAGCTGTTTCTTGTAGGTGATGCTCTTATGATTTATTTAACCACAGTTTACTGAGTCATTTTCTTAGGATTGTGGTTGCACTAGGAGAAAAGGTTGCATGCAGAAGTATTTTGTTTAGAACTGCAGTAGAGGGCAAAGATTACATTTCTCCTGCTAAGCTGTTCCTCATTATAGACGTTGTAAGAGGAAAACTGGCTAGTCTATTGTACCAAAAAGCAGGAAAAATCCAGTACCACATTCCTTTCTGACACATTTTATTAAAAGGTACAACCTTCAGTTTACTTCATTAGAGGCACAAAATGACTAAGTTGACATTGGATGGATGTAGAATTGAAATTTGGGTGAGGCAGAGGGGGAAGACCAATCTGTCACTCACAAAAATTTATGCCTTTTAATACAGATGGCCAAACCTAATTATTTTCATTTCCCTGCCATCTGGAAAGTTGATCTACTTGCATGCTTTACAGTATAGATACATGGTGATATTACTGCAGCCACCTGATTTTTATTTTCTTTTTCCCTATCCCTGCAATAGATAGATAGATGGATGCGTGGAGTGTTGCACTATCTTTCTATCCATCTCTGTGAATGTACACATATGTATATGTCTGTGAATATGTATACAAATACACACACACATACATACCCACTGTCTTTCTACACTGTTTCTCTGCCTATCATTTATCTATCGTTTATCTATCTATTTATCTGTCTGTCTGTCTGTCTGTTTGTGTCTGTATGGGTTTTTTTCCAGAAAATTTTTATTTTTTATTCTCTTACATATCATTTTAAGTATACATTCACATAATTATTTTTCTTCTTTACATTTATCATTCTTATACATTTGTTATTCCATTTTATAGGTTATAATATACATATACAGTTTGGTTTGCTTTGTTTACCATCCCTTCCTCCTGTTGTAACACCACCTTATTTTCCCTTTCTTTTCTCCCTTCCTCCCTTCCCTACTTTCCTCCTTCCTCCTCTCCTTTCCCTTCTTTCCTCCCTTACCCTTCTCCTACTCCTACTCTTCCTCCTCCCCTACCTACCTTCTCTCCTTCTCTTCCTCTCCCTTCCATCCTCCTCTTCTTACCTCTTTCTTCTTTTCCCCATCTTCCTTTCATTCTGTCCTCCTCTCCCTCTTTCTTTTCTATTATAGATGTCTCTTTTGGATCTCAGTTTATGTTTCCTTGGGATGGTGTTTCAGCAAACCCAAATATAATTGGTATCTTTTCTTGTTCCCTTACCTTCACTAATCTATCCTAATTATATTCCCCCATCTTTGTATCTCTCATATATATACTTATGTATTTAATATTTTCTTTTCTGTTTTCCGCTTCTTCCCCCCATTTTCCATAACAGTGCATCGGCTGGGTTCTGCATCTTATTCCTACTTTCTTTTCTAGTTTCCTTTCTCTAGCCAATCATAAAATATTTCCCATGTCTTGAAGTACTCCGATTCCTCTTTATCCTTTATTTTCATTGTCAACCTGTTCATCTCAGCACAATCTAATATCTTTTTTTACTATCTCTTCATCTGTTGGTAGCTTATTTAATTTCTAATTTTGGGCAAATATGATTCTTGCTGCTGTAGTTACATGTATAATCAAATAGGTATTCCCTTTATTAAATTTCTCTGGGATAATATCTAGTAAAGATATCTCTGGTCTAAATTCTATTTCATTGTATGTATGGGTGTGTGTGTGCACATATATACATGCACATATATACATACACACAGTCTATCTACACATCTGTCTGTCTGTCTGTCTACCCATCCATCCATCCATCCATCCATCCATCCATTGATCCATCTGTATGTGTATATATGTATACACACACATACATACCAGTGGTCGGATTCAAAAAAATTTATTACCAATTCTGTGGGTGTGGCTTAGTGTGCATGGCAGGGGAAGGATACTGCAAAATCCCCATTCCCTTCCCACCCCACTCCAGGGGAAGGATACTGCAAAATTTCCATTTCTACCCCACCCCACTAACCTGCTTTTCAGCTCCGTTCTCCTGTGCAGGGCAACAGAAGAAGACCCAGCCGATCAGCTGGGAATCTGATCAGCTGGGACTCGGGAGATAGCGAATAGATGGCAGCCAGAGGTGGTATTTGCTGGTTCACTGAACTACTCAAAATTTCCTCTACCGGTTCTCCAGAACCAGTCAGAACTGGCTGAATACTACCTCTGATACACACAGTCTGTCTATCTATACAGTCTGTCTCCTATTCTATTCTATTCTATTTTATTCTCTATCCCCACAAAGACAAAAAAGGGGTGAACTTTGACCAGTGGGATTTAGCCAAAGCAATCTATTATAAAATTCAAGTAAAGATTCCTGTTTTCATTTATGAATCTGAATTGCTGGCTAGGACATTAGGGGAGCTGAAATGCAGCACTTCTGGAAGTCTAGACTGAAAGATGCCTTAACATGAGACAGAGCCTAATTATCAGTATGGCCACTGTACAGTATATCCTGCCTACTGGAGTGTCATCCATTTCAGTACTTCTATACAAATCAGAAGCATAATCGCAATGCCTTTCATTATAACTAATGGCACTCTTCCCACATGTCACCTTTATCTGACCCATTTATTTCTAGACAGCAGTTTTCTTTTTCTAATGGCTGCCACTGTGCATAATTGTATGACTCATGTATTTTCCACCTCCAGGTATCTCCTATATTCTTTTTGAGACCCGCATTGGCTGTCTAGAGAAACAGATGCCCGTTGAAACAAAAAATTTCATTGATGCTATTGGATATATGTTCAGGAATTCTGTCTTTGTAACCTTCCTACCCAAATGGACACGGAACATGCTTCCTTTCTTTAATCGCTACCTACAAGGCTGGGATACTATCTTTGGCTTTGGTACGTGAGTGATGGGGATTTGAAAATAACTCTCTGAATTTTTACTCAAATCAGCTTGATGTCATCCAAGGAGCTGACATTTGTCTGTGTTCCTCTTGGGTAATTGGTATTTTCTTTAAGCTTCTTTGCATAGCCAAGGAATCAGTGGACGAATACCTGTCCATTATAATGGATATTGCCTTGTTAGTCTCACTATTGTGAACCATCAGTAACCAAAGCTCTTTCATGCTGTAGGGAAAAAACTGATTGATCAGAAGACTTTGGATTTAGAGAAGCGTTTGGAACGGGGTGAGGAAGTTTCAGGATACTTGACATACTTGCTTACCAGTGGGCGGCTTAGTAATGAAGAGATATATGGAAGCATAACTGAGCTGCTATTGGCTGGTGTTGACACGGTAGGACATTGACTTCCTATTCTTCCTATATGGGTGCCCTGATGCTTGAGGAGCAAAAGTGGTGGTAAATACTTGTCATGTTGTTGAGCATGTTGTCACCTGCTGATCAGCCTATATTCCTCACACTACTGTTTGAAAGCCTCAATATGCACTAGAACAGTGATGGAGACCTATAACATGAGTGTCAAAGGTGACACACCACAATGTTTTCCCAATGTTCACTAAGACCTGGCAACTATTATTGAAAGCACATTCTGTTCTCATGTGATTTTCTGAGGCTGAAGAGGCTACACGAGAATGGAGTGTGCTGTCGTACAGACTCTGTACCTTCTGAAAATCCTATGAAAATGGGGCATGCTTTCACACAGTTTTCTGAGACTGCAGAAGCCACTTGGAGACCATTCTCTGCAGCTGATTCAAGACCAAAGCCTCTTGCGACCCACAGCAACCTCAGATAAATTGCAGGGGCCTGTCAAAAGAAAGAGAACATCACGTAAAGATAAGCAGTTATGTGGCAGATCCTGGGGAGGGCTGGGCTGCAAGGGAAATGGGGAATGGTAGGAAAGGGCCTTTTTGAGTGGCAGCACTCAAAGTCAAGACCTGGGCCTCTACTTCAGGCCTAGCTTTTGCCCTATCAAATGCAGGGCGGCTTAGATTGGGGAGGTTGGGGCAATATAGAATTGTTTATCTTTTTTTGGGGGGATGTGTGTGCATGTACAATATGGGAGCAGAGTCAAGTTAGGCATTTTCCAAATTTTTGACACACTGAGACCAAACATTTGCTATGACTGCACCAGATGTTTAAGATTATTCTTTTAGAGCATACTTAAATAGGAAACTATTTTGTACAAATGCAAAACTTTTTTGTCTACTTGTTGAATTGTTGGTTTTATTTACTACACTTTCATACTAACACACTCCAGAAGAACCATGGTGGTACACAGTTGTTGGCCATTTTAAATGGCAATAATTTTCTCGTTTCCAGATAGCTTTTCCAACCCATTTTCTGATTCTCTGACCTTAAGTAATATCATTTTGAACCTGTTGCTTCTTCTGTATAAACTACCCTAAACTATGAGCCTTCCCCCAAATGTCTGGAAAAACCAGCTGTTACAAAAGAACTGATGACTGTGGCCGAGAATAACATTCCTTTTTTGTTTTCCTTTTCAATAAGAGTGAATATCTAGAAAAATCTTACCAGTCTTAGCACTGAATATCTTATATAGCATTTTCATTTAATTATTATATTTGGCTCCCACCCTTTTTCTAAATTAGAGATTAAGCTTCAATTGTAAAAGGAACTCTCTACAAATTTACCTATCATAACCAAGCAAGAGTATGTAGCAGATTTGTAAGCACACCTACTGGTAATCCTTTTTAGGTTGGGATAGAGTACTAGGGAGAACAGAAACAGAGGGGCTTGTTGCAAACAAAAAAAGGGAGGGTGGGGGACAGATATATTTCTAATTTTGAGAAATGTATACAAAACTGCCATGTTTTCTTTATCATACAGTGTTGGGAAAGAAATTTGGCTCTGCCAATCTACGGTAACCCTGATAGCTCTGAGAACCTACATCTGTTCCAAGAACCTAGCTAGGGATTGCTACCATTTTTACAAGCAATACATCTACAACAATTTGCAGCGATGACACACGTACAGCGAAATCATCATACAAATGCTTTTATACATGTGCATCCCAGCGTCTGATATGTGACACAAGTTCCAGCATTTGTGACGATGTCGTCACACATACATGTTCATTCCCCTGCCCAGAGAGGATGCCTATCACTTTCACTCTCTTGTTTGGTCTTTTCAGACATCCAATACTATGTCTTGGTGTTTGTATCATCTGGCTAGAAACCCAGACATCCAGGAAGCTTTATACCAGGAAATAGCCAATGTGGTACCTGCAGACCAAGTCGCTGAAGCCAAGGACATCAACAAGATGCCTCTGCTTAAGGCGATAATCAAGGAGACTCTCAGGTAGGAGCCTCTCTATGGTTGAGCAAAGAAGCAGGATGCAGTCTTAGCCTCAGATCAAGGATAGAGTAGCTGCTACTGCAGTTTTGCACTCTGGGTTTTTAAGAAACTACCAATAGTTCTCAAATTACAACCACAATGGACCATTATCACAAGAATGAGTGACTCGTCCAAGGTCATCAAGCTGTCCTAGGGGATGAACCTTATGACACAGGCCAAACCCCAAAGGATTGCAATCGCTGGTCTAGGTCATTAGGGACTTTTTTCCTGCTGTGCAATGCTGCCCACTGATCTGCCACTTCTCCCTTTAAAGGCTTTATCCTGTGGTCCCCACCAACGCACGGATTATTGCAGAGAAGGAAGTTGTCATTCAAGGATACCGGTTCCCAAAGGATGTAAGTGCTAGTGTATTATTAATTTTGCAACCAGGACATCTCTAAGTGAATTGGGCTTAGTAACCAGAAAAAATGTGAAACATAACCTAATCATTGCAATAGCAGTCCATGCTAGGAATTCTAACATCATTAGGAATGTCAGTCCATGCTAGGCAGAAGTGGGCAAAGTCTAGGAAAATGGACAGGTTGGAATATAGAAGGATCAAGGATTAAATTAGAAAGCAATTTTATTTATTTATAAGATATATATTTTTTCCCATGGAATACAAAGTAAGTTATGCAATCTGAGAACTCACTATTGGCCAATACCCAACAGTTGCTGAAGGCACACACTCTGTTCCTGTTGCACATACACCATAGAGCTTGTTCTTTGCCTACTGACGCAAATTGCCTACTGCATTTGCATCTTGTAAACATGCCAATATTCTATCATCTCTCCCACATGGAAGCGATGCCCATATACACTCTGCCCATGTTTGTTGCCATCATCATAGATCTGCCTGAAGAAGAACCTTGTTGAAAAAAAACAGTATCTCCGTTGGCTTACTAAGAAATCCTTTATCTACTTTTTTTTTGTGCTTTCCATTGGGCTTAGAGCCTGTTTGTACTGGCTCACTATGGCATGTCACATGATGAGAGCAACTTTCCAGAGCCAGAACGTTTCCTGCCACGCCGTTGGTTGCGAGATCAGAGAGAAGTGTCTCCTCACCCCTTCAGTTCCATTCCCTTTGGTTATGGAATCCGTGCCTGTGCAGGCCGTCGCATTGCTGAACTTGAAATGCACCTGGCTCTTATCAGGGTAAGTAGTTTCTACGTGTGAATGTACGTGTGCCAGTTTCTGTACGATCTGTGATATCTCGGCTGCAAAATAAAGTGAAATTCCAACTTCATTTCTGGAATTCAAGTCTGATTTCTGTCCAAGGGAAATCAGAGGAATTCCACCCTTCTCCCTACTTTTGCTGTCTGTTAATGTAGGGGAAATATATCATATTTTTCGGATTATAAGATGTGTATAAGATGCACCAAGATTTCAAAGAGGTAAGTAAGAAAAAAAAGTTTTTGTTCTCTCCAGCCCCCAGGAGCACTCTGCAAGCTTCAGCAGGGCTAGGGGGAGGTCAAAACCCTCCGATTTTCATCAAAATGGGGGCATTTTTCCCTTCCCCCAGCCCTGCTGAAGCCTGCAGAGTGCTTCTGGGGGGGGGGGTGTGGAAGGCAAAAATGTTCTGTTTTTGCGAAGAACAATATGTTTTTCAACCATTTTTCACAAAAAAAGGATGTGGGGACGGGTCTTTGGGAGGCCAAAAGTGGCTGTATAAGACGCACCAACATTTCCACCCTCTTTTTTGTGGCGGGGGAAGGTGCATCTTATACTCCAAAAAATATGGTACATTTCTTAGCTGTTTCCCAGAAGGTGGAAGGTAGGCTAGATGAAAAGTACAGGTAGTCCCCAACTTACAATCCTTCAAAGTTACAATGGCAGTGAAAAAAAAGTGACTTACAACTGGCCCTTGCAACTGGCATGTATTTATGACAGCTGCAGAAGCCCAAGGCCATGTAATCACCACTTGCAACCTTTCCAATTAGCTGCTGACCAGCAAAGTCAATGGGGGAAACTGGACTCATTTAACTACTGCATGATTCACTTAACAACCGCAAGAAGAATCGTAGAATCATATGGCTGGAAGAGACCTTGAAGGTCTTCTAGTCCAACCCCCTGCCTAAGGCAGGTGTACTTATACCATTCCAGACAAATAGTTTCCCAGTGTTTTCTTGAAAACCTCCAGCAATGGAGCACCCACAACTCTGGGAGGCAACCCGTTCCATTGATTAGTTATTCTTACCATCAGTAAATTCCTCTTTATTTTCAAGTTGAATCTCCCTCTGATGAGCTTCCACACATTGCGTCTTTATCTGCCTTCAGGTGCTATGGAAAATAAATTTACACCCTCTTCCTTGTGACAATCCCACAAGTACTGGAAGTCTGCTATCATGTCTCCCCCCCTTCTCTTCATTAGGCTGAACACACCTAGTTCCCTTAGCTGTTCATCATATGATTTAACCTCCAAACTCCTGATCATCTTCTATATTGTTCTTCTCTAAATTACTTAATAACCGATTACAGCAAAAAGATCATAAAATTGGGCACAATTCACTTAACATACACCTTGTTTAGCAACAGAAATGTTGGTCCCAATTGTAGAGGTAGGTCAAGGGCTATCTGTATCTAATCCTTCAAGCATGCAGTGGATTTGAAAGCCCAATAACTTCATGGTCTTCACAGGACTGATCATTCTTTCCTATCACATTGCTCTTCGTAATAGATTTAACTTCAGTGGGTAGTTGGGATAGAAAGAAAGGGCTGCAATAATACTATGTTAGCTTTCTCATTTCAAGAACTAAAGCAAAAGTCAGAGAAGTAGTGATTTCCCTATGCCAGAAGATGTAGAAAAGGGAACAAAATGTATTCAGGAACTCTCCCATTTTAATTATGAATTGATTAGTGGCTATGACTTAGGAGGTAAAGATCATTCTCGTGACATTGCCAACTGGCAACACTTTTGACATAAAATGATGTGATGCAGGTGGTCAGAAATAAATACCAGTACAAGTAGTCCTCAACTTATGACCACAATCGAGCCCAAAATTTATGTTGCTAAGTGAGAAATGTATCAGAAGCTTGCACAAGGGGATCACATAACCCTGGGACACTGCAGCCATCATAAATATGAGTCAATAGCCAAGCATCTGGATTTAAAATATGTGACCATGGGGATGCTGCCATGGTCATAAGTCTGAAGCATGGTCATGTCACTTTTTTCAATGCTGTTGTAACTTTGAACGGTCACTAAGTGAACACCGAGGACTATATGTAATGTGAATGGATGTAGGGCAGTGTTTCTCAACCTTGGCTACTTTAAGTCCTGTGGACTTCAACTTCCAGAATCCCCCAACCAGCTGGCTAGGGGATTCTGGGAGTTGAAGTCCACAGGACTTAAAAGTCGCCACGGTTGAGAAACACTGATGTAGGGCAAGGTGGAACCTGACAGGAAGCCTGTGAAATAATGTGCAATTTTTCTCTGGGTTGCTTCCAGATAATGCAGAAGTTCTTGATCAGACCAGACCCGCAATGCACTGACGTGAAGCCTCTCTCCCGTATTGTGCTGGTGCCAGACAAGCCTATTAACTTGGATTTCCTTGACCGACAGACAATGCCTTAAAGTTTTATTCAGCCCGAGAGTCTGCAGAGATCTAGAAAATCTGCTCTGGGATTGGATTGTGTCCTGGATGGTGTACTGACATAGTGCTTGAGATGCTCCACTCTTCAGGCAGGATTCAGTCTAAGGGGTCTCCCTCCTACCTGTACTAGTGGATTTTCTATATCCACCAAAAGCAACATTTGCAGCCTTGCAACCGTACACCCATAAGTTTGATTGCCAGCGTCCCGCTTTCCTGTTCCTGGGCTTCCAATAATCAGTGGTCAAGTATAGAATCAAGCCAAGATAAGCCACCTTGGGCTAGCCACTTTCTCTCTCAGCCCTAAGAAGGAGGCAATGGCAAACCACTCCCGAAAAACCTTACCCAAAAAAACATGTCCAGGAGGTTTCGGAGAATCTGATACAACTGAACAGGAAAAAAAAAACTTGCTTCAACCAATTAAGAATCCTCTCTGGATGGGAGGAGGCCTTCATGCATTCAATTCTACATGCCCCCTCCTTTCAGATAAGTGTATGTAGTATGTGTGGTTCATACTATTGCCACAAGCAAAATATCTTCAAAGACAAAGGGAGGGGGAGGAAGAAAACAAAAAACAAGAAAGTCCAGTTGCCTGTTGAAAAAGCACCTTTGTGACTATTGCCACATCATTCTATTTGAAAAGAATGTAATCTTTTTTCCAAATGTTACTAATCTAAGTATCCCAAAATGGGAGCAGAGACGGGAATTGTGCCAGGAAACTGCACTTCAAACAGTAGGAGTATAATGTTTTCCCTGAATTTTGTACACTGAGTGCAAATTTCAGAAGGGAACATGCCGTTACGTAACTTACATTGAATTTATATTTTACTGACAAAGAAAATTGTTGGTAAAATATAAATTCAACACAAAAAAGTTTGGCGCGAAAGCGATTGCCTGCAAAGGGTCCTGAATTGAGGCTGAAAGGTGAATGCAGAAGCAGTCTGTTCCATCCCATATTTGGGTAGACTAGGTTGCCCTGATAAACTGATCTCACCAGAAAAAAGTACTTAAGATACCATTACACTTTCAGGTTTTCTCCGTGTGTAAGTTCATGTTCCATATAAGAGTGCCAGGGAAGACCTTATACAAGTGCCATCTTTGAATCTTTGTAGGCTACCAGTGATCCCTGGAGAGGTTGGCAATCATTGGTTCAGAGGCTGTGTTTTGTTATTCTTTGCTTCATTAATGCAGTTAGAGTACAGGTACTTAGTACATTTATTTTAATATAAAAAATAGCCAGAAAAGCACATAAGATGACATACGAAATAAACATACTCACTAATTATAAGAACTAATATCTTTAATATTGCTTGTGGAATGACTGGAATTATCCAAGAAAAAGCACTTCTTTTTTGGCTGTATGCTATATAAATGTAAAAAGCACAACTCAGATATAATTCTTACTGTATATTCAAACCAGGATGATATATAGCAGGGGAGTTAAGAGATTCAAACATACAGTTAGCCATGAAGGTAACAAGTCTTTCCGCCAAATCTCCAACACAAACATCGGAGAATAAAATCTACATCCACACAAGTTTCTCTGTAGGAAAAGAAGATGATGAAAAACATTATAAATTATGAAGTATATTGTTAGTAGGAAATACATTAATCTGATTTCTAAGAAGCCTCTACAAATTTGCCCACTACCAAATTGTTATGAAAAAATCAGCAAACTAATTGGTTGTTAGATTTTCCACAGATCCACAGATTAAAACACCTGGGTAGAAACTGAAAAACCCTGAGATCTAGCCCCACTTTAGACACGAAGCCACCTGGGTGACCTGGGCCAGTCTCTCTCAGCCTTAGGAAGCAGGTAACTGCAGAGCATTTCTGAAAACCTTGCCAAGAAAAATTTTGGGGCTTGTCCAGACAGTCACCAGGAGTCATTACTGAAATGTTTGTGCAAGCACATGCATGAGTGCACACACATGCATACACACAGACTGTTTAGAGCATGAAAGCACTGATCAAAAAGTTGTAAGTCTTGCCGGGTGCTCACGCACACAAAGACATTGGCTGTTTAGAACATGGAAGCACTGATCGAAGAGTTGTCATTCTTTCTTGGCATGTGCAAACACACAAACACAGAAACATTTACTAAACTTTCATAGAAGAAGAGGTCAAAATGAAGAAAAATTATTACTGGAGCTTTAAAATGCATCAAGTGGTTTGTAGCACAAGATATTTATTTACAGTAAATTGAACACAAAAATGTCCAAGGCCTGATAGTTACAGTGGTATGCTGTATTTCTGGCCTCTACGCAGCACATCTGTCAGTGTAATGAAGTGAAACTGGAAACAAAATTTTAAATAGTCCCACAGGATCATGAAGTAGTCATACAGTAGTGGTTTTTTGTTTGTTTGTTTAGGTGCCCAAGTAGCTAAGCAGTTAAGGTAACACAAGCTGCTATGCTGTCATCATCACTCATTCTATTGTAAATGTAGTTAAAGCTACAGAAAAATAGGGCTCAAACTGAAATGATTTCAAGACTTCAACTCTTACACCAGAGGTAGTCAGCCTATGGGCTCCAGATCTTGCTGAGAGCTCTAATTCCCAGCAGTTTTTCTTCTTTCAGTTTACTACGCAGCTCCAATTTATAGCTGCTGTCGGAAGAAAAAAATCCAGGTCCAGTTCAGCTGGGAATAAAATGGAGGCTGATTGGAAAGGAAGATTCTGTTTATTAGTGAATAGAACCAACACACACACTGCGTGTATTTCTGGGACAGCTGACAAAATGGAGTTGAAAGTGGGTGGGTTTTACACCTCCTGGATCCCTATGGGGTCATGTAAGGGTCATGGTTGGCTCTATAGGCAAAAGACAAAGTGCAAATCCTAGGTGTTTGTCTGAGCTAATCTTGTCAACCTTTAACTTCTTGCTTATCTGAAGTTTCTGTCTGACCCAGATATTTCTGAATGGATTGCCAAATCTGCATTTTTAAAAGCTAGCCTCCTCAGTTTCTGCTTGGGGCAGGGAGACAAGAGCTGGTTTCTGCCTCCCTTAAGATTTTTCCCCATTTCTCCTTTACAGGAAATATTCTATCCTGCCTTTTTAATATTCCCCCAAATATTGCATTCTCTAGGAGGGTGTTTGAGTGCTGATTTTCTACACTGCCTATGGATGCTCCTACAGGGGTGGCAGGTGGCACTACACCTCTAAAAATGAGGGAGGGCAGAAGGTAGGATATATTGGCAGTCCTGCCATAAATCAGCAAAGCTTCTTGACCTAAAGAAATGATATAACCACATTTTTCTTTAATTGTCTATGGAGATTCTCAGTCATCCAGGTCATGGTTATCCCAAAGGCGCTTTTTCAAAAGACAACTTCAAGGAAAAATAAAGTAGTTGCTTTTTGAAAAAGCAACTTTGGGTTTCTTTTTAATTATTCATTAGGGTATTAAATGAAGTAAATCAGACTTGATTTCTGTATGTGTGTGAGATAACACAACAAACTCTAGAGCAGTGATTTTTTAAAACTTGGCAGCTTTAAGGTATGTAGACTTCAATTCCCAGAGCTCTAGGAGTTGACATCCACACTCCTTAGAATTGCCAAGTCTGAAAAATCCTGCTGTAGAGCGATGGTGAAGTGGAGGTGGCAGGAAGGAAAGAGACCTACTTCAGAATGGGGGTGAAATGCTACTGGTTCAGACCGGTTTGCCTGAACCAGTAGTAAAAAATGCTACTGGTTCGGGCAAACTGGTATTTCCAATGATCAGCTGTAATGCGTGATTTATATTAGCTAGAAAGCAGGATTTCCTGCTTTTTAGCTAATCTAAATCGTATGGCACAGTGGATTCCCCCCTCGCTGTTCTCCTTACCTTGCAGGTGTGCTCGGTACCAGGCTCCGCCCACCCACCCGGACGTCATCACATCCATTTTTGACGCTCTATGTATGCGTGGAAGGTCCTGCACATGTGTGGAGGTGGGGAGGTGGCGCGCGCAGGGGGGAGGTCGTGGGCTCACTCACATTTGCAAACCAGTAGTGAAGGTAAGTAGATTTTACCCCTGCTTCAGAATGTCAGTAGTATCACTGGTTTGAGCCTTCCTCTGTATTTTGCAACTAGCTACTCTTGGGTAGATTTGAAAAGCCTAAATCTGTCTTAGCAAATTCAGCATCAAATGGAGATCCTATTTCAAAAGTGCAGGTTTTGAGAGTGTGGAACAGTTTGTTCAAAATGAAGTAAATGCAGTATCACCAGGCAGAAAACTGGGAAGGCAAGCTGGTAATTTATCTGCTAAATCTTTTGCTCCGGCCTGGTAGGATATTTGACATCACTGAAGAGGCCACTGAGCAGGGTTACCTTATCTGTGGCCTCAGAGTCAGTTCTCATCTCTTTGTACAGCATCACCAGAAAACTGCAATACATAATTGGCCAGAAAGAATTGTATTAAATATATGAAGAGTAATAATATTATTCATAAGTATAATTTTTATTTGGGTTGGGCTTAAATTACCGTATTTTTCAGAGTATAAGACACACCTTTTCCCCTCAAATAAGAGGCTGAAAATCTGAGTGGGTCTTATTCACTGAATACAGCATTTTTTGCCTCCCAAAACCCCGCCCCCTTCACCAAAATGGCCATACATAGCCTTTAGGAGGCCTCCAGAGTGCTCCTGGGGGCTGGGGAGAGCAGAAATGAGCGAAAAACAGTCTGTTTTTTGCTCAATTTTGCCCCCACAGCCCCCAGGAGCACTCTATAAGCCTCCCAAAGGCTATGCATGCCTCTTTTTAAAAAGGGGGGCACGTTTTCGCAAAAAAACGGACCAGTTTGGGAGGTCTGTAGAGGGCAAAAACTTTTTTTTTAATTTGCCTCTTCAAAATCATGGTACGTCTTATACTCTGAAAAATATGGTAGATTGAATTTAGTTGTAATCTGATTCCAACTACAGGAAAATTGTCCAACCTATTATTCTGCAAGTATGTAGCTCACCACATGGATACACTATAAGTAGATCTTAAAAGCCCTGTTCCAAGGTCTTTTTAAATAGAAAAGCAGGGTTAAAATATTTAAAATAAAGGGACTTGTCTTTTTGATAATTTTCTTTGCATTTCTTTCATAAAGAATGGTTGACAAAACTTAACAGGCAGAGAAGAAAAGTGGAAAATATATATTTTCTATTTCAAGGGGCTATTGTCAAATCGCCATGCTTTGTTCACTTACTTTCACATGGCATTTTCTTGCAACCACATCCGAAAACTTACATAGATGGTCTTCGACTTGCAACAGTTCATTTAGTGACCATTCAAAGTTACAACCGCACTGAAAAAAACATTTTTTCACACTTATGACCATTGGAGCATCCCCATGGTCACCTGATCAAAATTCAGTTGCTTGGCAACTAACTCATATTTATGACAATTGCAGTGTCCCCACAGAATCATGTGATCTTTTGTGACAATCAGTCAATGGGAAAGCCAGGTTTACTTAACAATGTTACTAATGTAACTGCAATGATTTACTTAACAACTGTGGCAAGAAAGGTGGTAAAATGGGCAAAACTCACAACAAATGTCTCACTCACCAACATAAATTTTGGGCTCAATTGTGGTCATAAGTCGAGAACTACCTGTGCTGCATTTTCACCATAGCTAGCTTTTAATTCGGATTGCAGATTCTTTTCAGACAGGTGTCTCCAAGTCCCAATGATCATATTATTTAAAACTGGAGTTTTTATTTATATCCATATCTACATTTTGCCCACAGAGATATCATATACTGTGACTTCTACACATTCCTTAGCTAATGTAACTTTTGTAGAGTTATTATATGCCTGCACATTTTAACAGATTTTTAAAATTAATGAAAAGAAAACTTAGTAACTACATAAATGCATTGATACTGTATAACAACACTGTGTAAACATACATAATATGCTGTTATGTAATTGACTAAAATAAATTGACACTGAGACAGTATAAAACTTTCCCATTGTTTCCCTTAATGGTTTAGCCTTTAAAACAAAAAGGGGTTAAAAAAATACAGCTAGAATAGTGCATATCTGTGGGGACAGTCTGGAGGAGGAAAAAATGAATATTTTTCAGTGTTTTCTGCTAAAGCTTTGCCTATACTATCAAGGTTAACTCAGCCTTCCATCCTTCTCAGGTGGGTAAAATGAGGAATCCAGATTGTTGGGGGCAATATGCTGACTCTGTAAACCTCTTAGAGGGCGCTGTAAAGCACTATGAAGCAGTATCAGAGGTGGGTTCCTACCGGTTCAACCCAGTTCAGCCGAACCTGTAGTGGTATGCCAGCCTGGGTCACAGAACTGGCAGCGACCCAGGCTGGCCATGCCCACAAAACGGTTTCCTGGTCGCTGCTGTTGCCACCGCCATCTTTTTTTTAGTTCTGCCGATGCGCAGAACAATTTCTATTGAACTGTGCATGTGCATGCTGCGCACATCCAGCATGCTGCGCGCATCCAGTATGCACATGCAAAGTGCATGCACAAGCGAACCAGCACTAACGCTGGCTGAAATCCACCCCTGAGCAGTATATAAGTGCTATTGCTATTGCTGTACAATACGTTATCTTACCCTTGGTAATTAATAGTGATCTTACCCTTATCTTGCATTTGGGGAGAATCTATTCAAAATCATTTTCTATTTTGAGACCTGTTCCCACCAATCCTTCTTCCATCCTTGTTAAACAGGAAAAAAAAGATTACTTTCACAAGGCTTTTCAGCTCTTACAGGCATCTGCCTACCAGTCTTCCTGCCACATCTGAAATCAATCTTAAGAACTGGGTGACTTCTATCATCAAATGTTAGCCTGAAAGAGGATCAGCTAGTTTGTGACCCAGTCTGTGTTTCTGGCTGGATTTATACCCCAAGCTGAATTAATGACATTATTTAACCAGAACTCTATGCAGCAATTTAAAACTAAATCTTGTGACTTAATGAATTGCACAGCTCTTCCAAAAGGCCCTCATCTTGAGCCTTTGGAAGTTAAGTTAATTTTAGAGGTTGGATATGCTATGCAAAAACGTGGGTAGCTATTTTTCAGTTTAAGGTGACTGTATATACAAACCTAGAACAGAAAATTGTAGGTCACCATGTCTTCACAATAGCCACCTTAAATGAAAACAAATACTTTTTAAAATTCAATTGTCCTAAAGCATTTTTTTTTAAAAAAAAAAACATCCACGCAGCCTTCAAGCAAAATACAGGGCATTTAATTATTTGCATGCAACGTAATAGCATTAATAAATCTGAAAGCGCAAACATGCACCAAGTTTGGTCACTTCTAGCAATGGAGAAGGAGCTGGAAATTTTAAAGGAAGCCAAGAGTTGAATCCCCGTCCTCGTAATGCCTTGATTCACCACCTTTATTTCTCGAAGCCGAAGAGGTGGGCGGGAACAGCTTTTTTTAAATCGAGGGGCCGGAGGGATTTTCTTTACATAACACGAGGCGTTCCGAACAGACGGGACTGTGGGAGGAAAACCAACATTTGCGCCCGGGATTGATTAACATTTGGAGGTTTGGCTGCAGGATGTGTTTGCTTACAATTCACTTTGCTCTATTGAGGGTATTTAAAAAGTGTGGAATGGGAGTTCGTCTTTTCTCTGTTCTTCCATCTCGCCTGGTCATTTCTCAGTTCGCAGCCTCGCAAGGCTGGTTTTTCTAGCTGAAAAACACAGGACATCCGAGAACGAGTGAGAAAAATCCAACCATGATTTGGACTTCATTTCCCAGAATTTGACACAGTAGGACTAGCGGATGGCTGGGTATTCTGGGTGTGGTCCTTCATGTTGAGAAGTTTTATATCAGAATATATTTTATTCTTTATATACCGTTTCCTCTCTTCCCTTAAAACATTAAAAGAATCCACAATGGACTGAAAATCGGTGCCTCCACTAGATATTTGACAGTCAAGCTGAAATTAAGTCAACCAAGTAAAAATAGCAAAGGGAGGGTGTGTCTTTTACTCAAACATCAATTTATCTGGAAGGCAGAGGAGGAAAAAGGCAAAATAAACTCTCCAAACATGTGAGGCTTCTGTTGCAGAGTTTTTCAAACAGCGGTGAGGGTTGAGCTTGGCTACTGAAGGGAAGGAGAGGAAGACAGTTTGTTTTATTGCTTGATAGTAGGCCTTGCCTTGTGCTGTGCTGAAGGCAAAACCAGTTCCTAGGCTGGCCCTGCTCTGTCGTTTTAACTTCCTTCTCAATCCTTGTTTTTAACAGGATGCATCGCTTTGGCCCACTGCTTATGCAGCATTTGGACCAACTCCTGGAGCTTGGCAATTTCAACAGCAACATTGAAGAAGGTGGGTTGGCTCTAGCTCACCTTCCTCTCATCTCTCTCCTACCTCACCTCTGAATCTGTTAGCTTTAATGACCAATTTCATTTATGCCCTACCTTGGGCTCCAAGCCATAAAGCAACTTTATGACCTGTGGCCTTCAACTCCCAGAATTCTTGAGCCAGCTATGCTGGTTTAAGAATTCTGGGAGTTGAACTCCACAAGTTATATAGTTGCCATAGTTAACCACCCTTGCCCTAAAGTTATTGTCTGCCTCTTTCTGTGTCTCTGCTTTCTTAAGGCAGGAGGATACAATTCTGGGTAGATCCTTCTGTTCTATAAGGTTTTTGTTGTTTGTCAGTATTCCTTTATGCAACACAGTACCATCTATGAAAGCAGTCTTCCTCAACCCTAGAGCTTCCAACTGTATTAGGATGAAACTTGTGCGTTGACTGGGAGTTCTGAGTTTAGTCTTCTGTGTAGACTGAACTGAAGGGAAGAGACATGAACTTTGTCCTAAATAATTCTCTTACTTTTCATGAGCTGTGGTGGTGCAGTGGTTAGAGTGTAGTATTTCAGGCTATTTCTGCTGACTGCTGGCTGATTGCAATTAGGCAGTTTAAATCTCACCAGGCTCAAGGCTGACTTAGCCTTCCATCCTTCCAAGGTGGATAAAATGGGGACCCAGATTGTTGAGGCCAATCTGTAGACCACTTAGAGAGGGCTGTAGAGCACTGTAAAGTGGTATATAAGTCTAAGTGCTATTGCTATTTGCCCTGTCCATGGAAGATTGGAATGACAAAACAATATTGGCATGTCCCTTATTTTATTTGCTGAATCATGTCCCAGCTTTCTGCTCACTGACTGATCTGAAATTTCAATTTTGGATTGAAATAACACTGAAGCTGCCCACACTGTATTTTTAAGTATCGTTGTATCTATAGATGCTTCCTGTGGTATTTTCAGGCTCTTCACGCAAGAACACTTTAATGTTTTCTTCTTCCAGCTTTCTTGTTTAACAGGGGATAAGTGTGGGGAGTGGATATGTTGAAGCACAGAGAGCCAGTGTCTAACTTAGTCTTTATTAAATATAGAAATGCTTTGGGGTTTATAAGCTACAAGCATTCTTGGTAAATAATAATAGATGACTACAAACATAATTTGGTGAAGATGGGAAGAACCTGGTAATTGTGTATCTTGTGATTGGTTGAACATTGTCCATAAGAGCTATTTGATTATTCCCCTACTTTGTATGGTCTCCTGCAATTTGCCCTTTGGCCTGGAAAGGATGGGTACCTATATAGATATAAATAAATAATACATTTAGAAATTAGAAATTAGACTATTGCTTGAGCAATTTTTCATTCCTTGGATTTATGTTACAATATGTACTGGTATGTGCAGAATTGTATTAGCATAACATTCCCTTCCTTTGATCTGATCTGGCTGCTTTTTATTGGAATGTATATGTATGCTGTTTCTCTAGCACTGTTAACTTTTGAAACTGAACGTCTCAAAGATGCTTTTTCAAGAGGCAACTGGGGGTGGGGACGTTCTTGTTTTTCTTTTCTTTTGTTCTCAAAGAAAAACAAGAGAGTTCAGTTGCCTCTTGCAAAAGCACCTTTGGGACAACCATAATCTGGATGCCTGAGAATCCCCATAGATATTTTGAACCTGAATTAAAAACTGATGTTCTGGGACTGCCTTTCAAAGAAGAAACAAACTTCAGAATAGCTTTGTTGAGGTTCTACCATAGGAAGGTACAGCTTTGCAATGCAGGGTCTCAACTGAATCTACCGTAATAAGCAGGTGGGAGTCAGAGAAAAGTCTTAACTTTGATTTCTGTTAAACTTGTAAATATAATTAAGAAAATTACTCCTCAGTTGTTTTAGAGTTTTTCCCCCTTCATATACTAACAAGTTTAACTGAGTGACAAGTTTTTAAGATACTCTGAAGGCAATGCTTTAAATGCTGCCTGCAGAGCCTCTATTGCAGTGGTTCTCAACCTGTGGGTCGGGACCCCTTTGGTGGGGTCGAACGACCCTTTCACAGGGGTCACCTAAGACCATCGGAAAACACACATTTTCAAAAAAATGTGGAAAACAAAAAATAATTTTATGGTTGGGGGTCACCACAACATGAGGAACTGTATTAAAGGGCCGCGGCATTAGGAAGGTTGAGAACCACTGCTCTATTGCTTCTCCAGCTTCCTTTAGGTCTGTTTAGCGCCATGGTGCCACAGTGGTTAGAATGCAGTACTGCAGGCTACCTCACTGCTTATTCCAGGAGGTCGATTCTGAATAGCTCAAGGTTGACTCAGCCTTCCATCCTTCAGAGGTCGGTAAAATGAGGACCCAGGTTGTGGGGGCAATATGCTGACTCTGGAAACTGCTTAGAGAGGGCTATAGAGGACAGTATATAAGTCTAAGTGCTATTGCTACCTGAAGCACCAGCTTGCTCAGGTATCTAACACCACAACCTAGGGCTCCATGCTAACCCCAATGGGTGTGGGGTGTGCAAGAAGTGCTGCATGGGTCAGGGAAGGCATGGTGTGGGCATAGTCCAGGAAGGGTGTGCAGGGGTTCCTTTTGCAGCAGAAGCACTGAAGCAGCCACAACAATCTGAAGCCCTCCAAAGATTGCAACTCTCACCAAAGTCAGGCAGTGTGATAAACTCTATACTATCAAGGTTGACTCAGCCTTCCATCCTTCTCAGGTGGGTAAAATGAGGACCCAGATTGTTGGGGGCAGTATGCTGACTCTGTAAACCGCTCAGAGGGGTCTGTGAAGCACTATGAAGCAGTATTTGAGGTGGGTTCCTATAGGCGTTATAAATGGAAAATGTGAGAATAGCATGGTATAAGAAGAAATGTTTTAAGATACATGAGAAAAAAGAGAGAATCTAGCAAAGTTCTCCGAAGTACTGAGATTTCAAGAAAATAGCTGTATTGGAGTGGATTTTTCACAACTTGGAATGGATTCTATAGAACAATTAAGCATTGATACAATGACACAGAATAGAGAGACTCTTGACTCTTATTAAACACTTCTGTTCTTACCATGACAGCTGTCAGAACTGGGGTACTTCAGTTGGTCCATTAATCAGTGGGTTAAGAGGATGCTGTTCTAATGGAATTTTGATCATACTATCTTTAGAATCCTTTTAGTGGGGTTTGACAGAAAGTGGTGAAAAACTGTGTTAATTCAAGCATTCTTTGTTATTTTGGGTATAGCATCAGTGCTTCCTGGTAGCAGGTTGGCCAGACTCTAGAAACTCTTTGCTTATGTAAGGATAAGGATAAAATTACATTTCCTGTACCCTTTTCCTGACACAGGAGAACCCATTCTCTTTGTTCACTTCGACATTTTCCATCTTAACTCATGTTATTCTTGGGCACAAACAAGATACGTATGTGCTTGCAAAGTTTATTTACACTTAGGTAATTTTGAGCCTTTGCCATCAGATCCCAATACTGACCCCATGCATCTGTTCAGAATATCTCCAGATTGCCAAGTGTCTGGAGGAGATGCGCCAGCGATGCTGCCGGCTGGATCATGATTTGCAGAAGGCAAGGCAGCAGTTACGCCAATCGGAATCTGAGTTTTCTGTGCTGGAGGTGAAGTTGAAACATGCCAGGAACCAAGTAGAGGTGGAAATGAAGAAAAGACGTTGGGCAGAAGCTGAGCTGGAAAAGCAGGTATGATAATTTTATTCTCTTGTCAGAAACAGCATTCCCAGAAGGAGGCTATCATAAGTGAAAGAAGTAGGAAAATGAATTGTATCTCTTCTGTCAAGTAATAGATTTTAGGAAAAATAGCCTCTTAATCTGAAAACAAGAGTGGATCACCTCTAGTCTTTCAGCTGTAATTGGGCTTGAATTCTTAATAGCACCAGAAAACATGGCGGTAGAACCATATTTAAAAGTGTGAGGCTAACAGTTACCATCCTAGTGTTAACATTTCTACCATACCTCATTCAGTGCACCTGTTGCATTTTTATACTTCTCAAAAACATTTTTGTGTAGGACAGGGGCGGGGAACAATGGCCCTTTTAACACTTGTGGACTTTAACTCCCAGAATTCCTGAGCCAGCCATGCTTAATCTTAAGTAAACTTGAATCCCAGTTTAATCTAATTTATTCATGTGTCTCTGAATGGATTGTTAATGTAAAGTTAATGTAATCCTGAGAGTTCATGCAAGGTGAGGCTAGTTAATTAATCTTATATCAGTGCAAGTCCTGAGGGAACACCCAGGCCCAAACCTTGTTCCAGTTGCCAGAGGCTCTCTTAAACATCATTTCATTCTTTTCATTAAGAGGATTTCTTGGTTCTCTTCCCTTCCAGGAATGCAAGTTGCAGCTTATCTATGACTACCTCATGGCAGACCCACAGATCGCCCCCCTCACTGAAGATAAACATGCAGACCTGGCCATTGTGGAGAGGCTGTGTTTCAGCCGCAGTAACCTACTGCCTAGAAAACAGTGAGTGTTAGAAGGCCAAGCTTCAGTTAAAAGGCTTTGATGTGGCATTCTTGTGCATGCAATCTTACACAAGAATTATGGTCCTCGGAGCTCCCTGTAGCAATCCAAACTCTGCCTTTGGAAAGATGATATAATTTGTCTCCATAAGAAATATTGCACATTAAAACCCTTGAACTAAATGTGAAGTGTTCTGGTTTGAGATGACTCTGGCATACCTGGCACCCTGGATGGGGAAATAAAGCAATGTTTTTTTGTCCATCCTCTTCTGGGACTTCTCCAGTTGCAAACAACATAAAGAAAATTATTGCAATCTGCCCAATGGATGATTGGCACTTTCCACTAGATCAGAGACATGAGGGACAATTGAAGAACCTTATTCCCTTCTGCCCGTTATGCAGTACTTTTCCTTGAGAGTTTTCCAAGTCAGGAATTCCCTTCAAAAGCAACAGCCACGGGACCAACAGAGAGGTGGGAAGAGCATCTGGCATTAGATCTTCCCCTCTGAGATTGGTGCTCCATCTCCAACCCTGTAGAGTGGAATCAAAGTAATTCAGTGTTACCTGGAACGCTGCACAACTACACAGAATTGTATTCCAAGTATATTATAATTTTTTTCTGAGTATTAAAATTAATCTTCATAATGCATTATCTCCATAATCTCTGGCACAACTCTGCAAAATAAGTACCAGTGACAAAGGAGGAAAATTCAGAGATCAAGAGGGAATAAATCAACACATGGACCTTGTATAGCATTTGATAAATTTATAATCAATTGTCATGTTTTAGCTTAATATATATTTAAAATATTTCCCTGGTTTTTCCATGATAGAGGAGAAGCGAGTAGAAATGTACAGGTAATTCTGCCCACTTTTTGTTAGAAACTTTTGCTTGGACACATGCACATAACTGACCAAAAAGTGATAGGGTTGCTCTTGCATTTTCTTTAAAAAACTCCAGCATTTTATTATCTTGGTTCTTCTCAATATCCAGGTTATATGCCAAACCTTTTCCAGGATTTCTTCTAAGTATCATGAGGAAGAAAGCCTGGCATATCTAGTGAGGATTCTCAGGCCATTGATATTATTCTCTTTAAAAAGTATAAATATGTCTGTATGCCTGTTAGTCTTCCCCAGAATTCTAGAAAGAAAGAAGCTGGGTAGCCATTTTGTCAGGAATGTTGTAGAAGATGTAGAAAAGATGTGGAGACTCTAGAAAGAGTGCAGAGAAAAACAACAAATATGATTAGGGGACTGGAGACTAAAACATATGAAGAACGGTTGCTGGAACTGTTGCAGCAGATTGAGGTTTGTAATCTACTTACGAAAGACCAGGACTTGATACCACGAAG